AAAAAATTAACATAATGGAGCTAAGCACAGGCAAAATCCTAGAGGAAAACCTGACTCAGTCTGCTTTCCACCAGACACTGGGAGATTAATTCACCTTTCAGCAGGACAGTAACCTAAAACACAACGCCAAATATACACTGGAGTTGCTTACCAAGAAGACAGTGAATGTTCCTGATTTGCCAAGTTAGTTTTGACTTAAATCTACTTGAAAATGTATGGCAAGACCTGAACATGTTTGCTTAGAAAGGATCAACAACCAACTTGACAGAGCTTGAGGAAATTTGAAAAGAATAATGGTTAAATGTTGCACAATCCAGGTGTGGAAAGCTCTTAGAGACTTACCCAGAAAGACACAAAGCTGTAATCACTGCCAAAGGTGGTTCTACAAAGTATTGACTCAGGGGAGTGAATACTTATGTAAATGAGATATTTCTGTATTTCATTTTCAATCAATTTACAAACATTTCTAAAAACATGTTTCACTTTGTCATTATGGGGCATTGTGTGTAGATGGGTGAGAAAAAAAATCGATTTAATCAATTTTTTATTCAGACTGTAACACAACAAAATGTGGAATATGTCAAGGGGTATGAATACTTTCTGAAGGCACTGTATACCCCACTCACCCTGAAAATGAATGTTGGGCTACCACCCGCCTTTACTACCTACACATTTCAGAAGGTGTTTCACCAAACAATGTTTCTGTGGCATTTCCTTGTCTGTTTTCCTGTGTGCATTCATGTGTTGTAAAAATACAAAGATAACACTAGAAAGTGGCAAATCCAAATGTTTGTCAGGGAACACCAGTTGTTTGGCAAATAAAGAACAAACAAACCTTAATGATTCCTAGTCATATAAGCAAAATAGACAGACAGGCACATGCAGACTGAAAACGAACACTTGTGTATAGGCTTGCAAACACAGACATAAAATTCCAAGGCAACAATGGGGGAATGTAAGTGACACAGAGTTAATATTAACCTCAAGAGGCAGTTCAACCTACAAAGGTGTCACAGAACAATTAGAGCAGTAAACTGGTGTGGTGTCACAGTGCCAAGCAAGACAGGCAGAGAGAGCAGTCACATGCCACAAAGGCATTCCACACACAGATGAAGAATTACTGACACTGACACACCAGTAAGGCGTTCACCCTCACTAACCAGTAACAGAAACTGGAGAACAGCTTTTCTGTGACACATAGCAAATATGTCACTTGTTAGTTTGTAGCACCAGATACATATCCATATCCATAAGAAAACAAACATGAAGCTGAGCTATAACTTTGTTGCAGGCTGCATCTATAATAATGTCCATTCTGCCTCTGTATGCACTGGGGTGTGTATGACATCTTCATAGCGAGGCCCTACAACAGCTGTAACTGAAAAATATTTGTTCTCTTAGATCTTCCCATTTACCCTAATCAATCACCCTCCCCAGACCACTTCAGAAATTAATTGTATGTTATGTTAAATGTTGCTCGGTGCAATGGAAATACTTAAAATAGTAGCTTGTTGATGGGATTATTAATCAAATCATTTATTTCCGTTTCATTTTATACTAAGGTAATAGGATCTGGTAGTGGTATAGCACAGATCTGGTCAGAACTTTTTCCCGATCATAATAAGGAATTCCTGTGCTAGAATCAAATGGTTTATTGAGCCTTTATGGTGTGCGACCAGTAGGTGCACATCCACAGGCTGCTGTCTGGGGCATTTGGTTTTACAATCTGTAAAAACAGCCTTTGTTACAATTGACATTCCTCCCCAGTCGGTCACATTGGAGATTGTCAGAGAGCCAGCCCTAGTACACCTCAAACCCCCACGTCCCACACCCGCCTCCCGCTGTCCCTTCTCCTGCCAAGGCTTGGCCATCTAAGAGCAGTCTTGGGAGGATGGAGGTCATCCCAGTGCTGACGCGACACACTTTTGTTTACAGCTTGAGTGGGGCCTTTCTCTGCGGCTTAACTTGACCTTAAGGGACGCGAGGGAACACAATTATACCTCAATCGCTTTACGGATATGCATTCTCACAGATTATCCCTAAAATAATCTCTTACTGTAAATCATTATCATCACGGACTATTCAGTTGGCTTACTATGAGCAGCTATTTCTGATCTCTAACAATTGTTTGCCATGTTAAAAAAGTGTAATGTTAGCTTTGGCTACATAAGGACGTTATCCAGTCATATGAATGTCTCTCTGTCTAGAGCTTAGTCTGCAGCTTTCTACTGAGGTATGAGAAAAGTATTGTCAAACTACTATGCAATTACAGTTTTTCTCAATCGCATACAAGCAATTTTGTGATCTACGCTGAAATGTATCTATAGCGGACGGCAATGATCAAATGCTGAAATACATTTACAGAACTTCTGATAATTGACTTGCTTTGTACCTGACTTGCATATCTTGGACCACCTTTTGCTAAACTTTAAATACAAATGTCCTCAGTGAATACAACATTTTGTTATGTTTTGTTTACCGAAAATTAACACATTGTTTGCAACAAAAGAGAAATGTGTACAATTGTGCTGACTGTTTCTGGCAATCAGTAAATACTACTGTCGAAAAATTAAGAAATGTCGTAACGAATCCAATTAACAAACCAAATAGCACTGTAACAGTAATACAAATACAATCTATACGTATATACACCAGATGAATATTTTCAAGATATACTAAGAATGATATGTACAACAGTAGATATATAGTATAAAGTGGGTAAAACAGTATTTAAACATTATTGATAAAGTGGCCAGTGTTCAATGACTCTATGTACGTAGGGCAGCAGTCTCTAAGAGTACTGGGTGGTAGCTGTAAGAATATAGAGCCGGGACACCATACTGTTAGCCTTAGGAAACTGTTTAGTAAGTTTAACACCGGATATCTTTACAGAGCATTATGGGTACTGTAGTACATCATGCTACATTAGCCAGCTGGTGACAGTGTCTAAGGTTCAGGGCAGGGTACTGGGCGGAGTCCGGCTAGTGGTGACTGTTTAACAGTCTAATGGCCTGGAGATAGAAGCTGTTTATCAGTCTCTCGGTCCCAGCTTGGATGCACCTGTACTGTCTGAGACTCTCCAGTAGCGAGGGGAACAGGCTGTGGCTAATGTCCTTGATGATCTTTTTGGCCTTCCTGTGACGCCGGGTGCTGTAGATGTCCTGGTGGGCAGGCAGTGTGCCCCTGATGATGCGTCGGGCTGATGGCACTACCCTCTGGAGAGTCCTGCGATTGCAGACGGTGCAGTTGCCATACCAAGTGGTAATACAGCCCTACAGGATGCTCTCGATGGTGCATCTGTAGACGTTTGTGAGGTCTTAGGGGCCAAGACGAATTTCCTCAGCCTCCTGAGGTTGAAGAGGTGCTGTTGCGCCTTCTTCACTTTGCTGTTGGTGTGAAGTGATTGCAACGAAAATGTATTGATCTACTAGGATTTTAAAGACAGAGTTCTGTGTCTTGTGGACTCTGTTTTGAAAATCAACAACACTGTTCCAAAAAATGCTCATACTGAAATACTGGAAATGCAGGTTTGATTGAATTTAGCCTTTTATTGTATTTTATTATGGATTTAGACTGCCATCTACAGGTACATTTTTAAACTAACACAATATTACACATAGCGGTCAAACAGTAAAGAACACACAGAGCATGCTGTACAGTTAACTATGTTTGGGGATGTTCTGTTTCAGTTCCATTTGATTCCATAAAACCTCATAAAGATAGTTATATAAAGTATTAAAAAATCCATACAATTACCACACAATGAGACAAAGTAAAACACTAAATGTCTATACACAAATGTCTAATTAAAATTCACAAAGCAACCCGTAAAGCTGCTCAAATATTTCACGAAGTCTGAAGAGCCCAGTGAGTTTTGTTTTGAACTCCTTCCCACATCATGAACTTTGACAGCTGACATAAGTTGTCTTCAGCTCATTCACCTGTTCACACGTCCCCCCAAACCTTCTGTGTGTCTAATGGACAACACATTCCACTCTCATAGATTGAGATTTTTTTTTTCACCATTTCCTTTTTCTTCTGTCCTTTCACAAAAAAGAAACAGTACCAGACATTACACACATGATCACTGGTTTGCCTTATTTAAGGTAATATTAAAAACTAAATAAAAATTTCAAATAAACAGACTGACCTAAAAGAGAAGCCAATTCAAGTATCATCCTGTTTTCCAAACCCATTGACCTTGTAGCTTAATGTTATTTTGTGTGTTGTCAGAGCCCCTGGTTTAGGTGACATGGTGGATTGGCTGATGACAGGAGGGGTTAGCAAAATAGACTAAAAGCTGTGAGGAGGAAATGTGTGCGGATTATTAGCAAAGAAGAAAAAATGTTGTGTGAAAGGGAAGATATAAATGACAAAGACATGGTAGAGGGGCAGATCCAAGTACCAAGAAACATTTTGATATTTAAATAAAGAAAAACAAAACAAAAAAAATTGTAAAGTGGTTATCCCACTGGCTATAGGGTGAATGTACCAATTTGTAAGTCGCTCTGGATAAGAGCGTCTGCTAAATGACGTAAATGTAAATGTAAATGTTTCAGAAAACCTGAGAAATTAGTGAGGAAGAAAAAAAAAACAGCACTTTGCCATCAACTACTAGATGTGCATATAAAATACTGTTTTCCGACAACACAAAAAATGAAGTTCTTCTTGGCATAAAAAGTACTTGAAACCCTGAAAACATTTGGCACCTCGTTTAGATTGGTCAATGAATGTCTCAAAAGACGTAATAGACTGGCGTCACTGGTTTTATGCAGAGTTAAGAGGGACAAACTGCCCACTTTTGTAAACAGAATATATCTCCAAGAGGTCCACAAGTGGTATTTTTCTCTCCAGGTTGGGACAGACACAGTTCCCAACTATGACGTCTAGTCTCACCCACAACTTTACAAACAGTAAAGAAGAAATATACTTACTGACAAATACCACATTTGTACAGAACTCACACTGACTCTCAGGCAACCCAATAACATGCAGATAAATATTAACTTCCCTCCTTCTCATTAAAAGTTAGACAATTGTTTCGTTTTTTATTCTTCAGCTAAATTGTTTCGTAAACTTTGAGTATACAAATCTATAACGACAAGTATATTCATTCTGAGAAAATTTCCAACAAACTAAAAGAAACAGAATACAATCCAAATAGCTATATGAAAAATATACTTTTTATTATAAAGTTACCGGTAGTTAATTTACATATCATAAAATACAAATAAACAAATGCAACCGTACTGTACTGCTATGTTGACCATAGTCCATACAATTCACTTAGGACACCCTAATTGTCAATTATTATTTTCAGTTTAAAGACTTGAAGTTGACATTCAAAGCTGTATTCAAATAAAGATTATACTTTAGTGTTACAGTTTAAATTAAAATAAGTGCATGAAATTGTAATCAAGTCAAATGTAATTCACAATTTTAGCTTTATAAACAAGGAAGCATGACATTACATCCTCTAAAATATAATGACTTATGTTATTCAATAAGATTTGTGTTATTCAATTCAGCACTAAATTCTCTACATGTTTTTTGTTGATCATCATAATTTAATATAAACAACAACCCCAAAGACTCAAAACTCCTGAACTTCTCAAATGGTGGACTGTGTACTGTCTACTTGTTGAGGATTTAAACCACAATAAATTAGTCAAACTTGTTTTACTCTCAGGATTAGTCTTAGTCCTCTCTGAGGTAAGCCTCATGCACGTCATCACCACCACTCTCTATGAAGGAGGCATACTCTGCCATCCTCTGGATCTCCTCGGCCTGGGTCTCAGCCAGCTTCCTCTCAGCATCCACAGATATCTGCCGTACCTCCTCCACCTGAACCTTGGCCACCTGCAAATTGGTCTTGGCTGTGACGGATGCATGCTCAGCTCCTGGGAAACAAACACAAGACGGTGGTCTTAGTTAGTCAAATTTCACCATAACAGAGAAAAGGGCCAAAGATGAAACATTCAATCCATGGTGATAACGGGTGACAATGAGCAGGTGGCCCTGTCCATCATCTCTCTATTGTGCTGCATCATGGGAATTAGAGTTAATGGTGACCTGGAGGTTTTAGTCTTCTTTACCATCACAGAGCCCTATTCACTAACAGCTACTGATCCATACATTGGTCAAAGTGTGAGACTGACAGCTCTTGAAAAAGAGGGGGCACAAACAGCAAACTACAAAGTAGTAAGACAGAGATACACAAAACGAACATTTTGGGGGCCTTTCTCAGAGCTAGCAGGTTTATTACTGCACTGACAGGTTCATGTCTGTGTGAGAATCTCAGTGCTGACTGAGGACTATTGACTGTCATGGGGAGCAGGGAGCATCAGGTACTACACAACACTAACACTAGCTTGTGTATGTATCATTGTTGTGCAATTCAAGGTTGTGGTTCAGTTCCTATTTTTAGTGATAAACAGGTTGTATTGGTTTAGTCGGACCCCGTTATCTTTTGCCGAAACAGCAGCTATTCTTCCTGGGGTCCACACAAAAACATAAAACACGACAAGTAACAATAATAATATATAATATGCCATTTAGCAGATGCTTTTATCCAAAGTGACTTGCGTGCATACATTTTTTGTGTATGGGTGGTCCCGGGGATCGAACCCACTACCTTGGCGTTACAAGCGCCGTGCTCTACCAGCTGAGCTACAGAGGACCACACTGATAGACAACAGTCACACACATGTTTAACACAACCTTTTCAGTAATGGCACTGGTAATAAACATACCTGTGTTGTACGCTGCCTCAGCTGCCATTTCACACAGGTTGATGGCATTAATCCAGTTTGACTCAAAGCGGTTGCATTCATCTAGTCTGTCACCAACCTGAGAACAGAGAGAGAGAGAGAAATCCATCAGAACATTTTATTACTTTCATGAGAGGTTTATAGAGCTCAAACTGTATTTACTTTTAGAACATAAATGACAAACATTGAACGGCAAACAGGGGTAACTAAAGCGTTTACTAATTGAGATAGTAAATCAAGTTAAATGTTATTTGGAAATAAACAAGACACCCTAAAGACATAGCTTTTCCAGATGGCTGGATACAAAAATACAGTATTCTTTTTTTCTTCTGAAATATGACTTTGTAAGACAACAGTGTATTTTTTGTGTATTTGAGTACACATTTCATACACCTACTTCAACACGCTGGCCAATGATCACTTGCCAAATGGCATCCTCCTCAGCAGTGGAGAGTTTTCCCAGTGAAGCCAGATATCTCCTCTGCAGGGCGATGAGGGTATGGAGAGCCTGAGGACAATGCAAACAAAACGAACACATGAACAAACACATGGTCAAAAGCATGAAGGGTCATTTAGGTAGCATGATGCCATTGCCTTACTGGTAAAATTCACATTTGATATTTCATATGGCTATAATTATCACGCTATACATCTTAGCATACACGATAACAAAAAAACCACTATGATCCCTTCAGGTACTTACTTTGGCATACTGTGTGATGGAGTCTACGAGAGCCTGAGTGGTCTGGGAGAGGTAAGTGTTTGCACTGTCTGTAACCATAGAGGATGCTCTTCGGATCAGGGATTCATGAGAGAGGTTCTCCACTTGCTGGATAGAGAGAGAAACAGACAAGTTTAATATATGAGCTGAAAAGGGGGATTTCTATGATTAAGGCATTCATGTATATGATGTCAGCCTTATTCAAGTTATTCAGCATTATTCAATGACACTAATAGACAGTGATGAGTGACCCGCTCGTGCGCGCACAGAGAGAGAGAGAGAAAATGGTCCTGTACCTGTATGAAGGGGACAGCGCTCAATCCACTGCCAACACTCAAACAGGCCAAGCTCGTTCTGGTAACATCTGTGAAACGCACGAGCCTCTGGCGCGAGGGCTTCCTACTGTTGAGGACACTCGCTGCTGTGCTCCTGCAAGGTATTAAGAGGAAACAACAACACTGATATTAGAAAGCTACAGTGGTTACAGCAATTCGATATTTATCTTAGACGAAACTGTTTCTGTTTGCATACGAATACAATTCATTAGGGTGCAATGATGCAGTTGTTATTATAAAGTTATTTACCTGAAGAAATTGAGACATGCAACGCTTCTTCTGAGCGCGGCCATATTGGTCCGGAGCAAAAGGAAGTCCGTCCGACTTTGTAGAAGTCCCCCAGTAGCACAAGCAGAGCATTGTCTAATAGCTTGCATTTTACTTGTAATGTCGTTTATTACTCTTCAACTAAAATAAATTATGAGGTTACTTTTGTGATGTATTAATGTCTCAATAAATTGTTTTTAAACTAAAGATTCCTTTACCAGAATTCTTTACCACAAAAAGTAAGTATCTGTCGCCACCTCGTGGTAAAATAGTCCAAACTTCAATGCTGTATTCCTGCTGTAGTCTTGTATTCCTTTGCCCAACTGTGCTTCCTGAATCCTGTAGAGTCCCAGGGGTATTTATAAGATCACAAAACAAGCAGCCTCCCACCACACATATGTATTGATTTGTTTACTGTCCCCTGAAATGTGCCAACTAGATATTGCCTGAAGGTCCAGGAGGAGACCTATGACGCACACATTACGTAAGCACAATGTTATGTAAATTGACTCATTGTTTTTTTTCTGGCAAAACAGATATTTCAATATCAGCCTCAAGAGTTATTTTACTGATGAATCAGTGTCCCTCCAATTAAAGTTAGTGACAGGCAGTTCACCCCAAAGTTTATCAGACATTCACATCAAAAAGTGATCTAATGTTGAGAAGAGTCCATGTCCCCCCACTACATCTGTTGTGTAGATCTAGCTATACAGTATGTCAGACCCAAATAAATGGTAAAGTTATAGGCACCATCTAATTGGATTATTTAATGGTAGTTTGATCTACACATATCCCAACTACAGGCTGATCCTAACCTCAACCATTATGTGTGGCCAAAGGATTTGGTATGTAGTGACAATGAACATTATACTGGTTTTCAAAAGCCAGAGGCAAAGGTTAAACATATACGCTGGAATACAATAAGGAGAGTAATCTTGTTTGTGTTTGTGATATTTTCTAATTTGCTAAAGTGCCTCTTTGGTCTTATTCTGGTCATAATTTCTCAATAGTTTGATCTACACACATCGTAGATCAAACTATTGAGAGATTATGTGACTAAACTCAACAATAATACGAATAAACTGTATTATGAAGCCAAGATCAATGATATAAAGAATTATGGAAAACATTTTCTGGAGTATTTTAAATGAAATGATGGGCAGATGTCACGAACGTTGACTGATGACTCGTGGAACCAAGGCGCAGCGTGATAAGCGTACATTTTATTTAGTACACAACACACGAACAAAACAACAAAACGAACGATACGTGAAGTCCTGAGGTTACAACAAACCAAACCTTTACGGAACAAGATCCCACAAACTAACTGGTGCCAACAGGCTGCCTAAGTATGGTCCCCAATCAGAGACAACGAGCTACACCTGTCTCTGATTGGGAACCACCCTGGCCAACATAGATCAACACGATCTAGAACAAAAACATAGAAAACGAAACAATGAAAATCCACACCCTGGCTCAACATTTAAGAGTCCCCAGAGCCAGGGCGTGACAGTACCCCCCCCCGGATCCGGCTCCGGGCGTGACCACCACCTTTTCTCCACCTCCCCGTTGCGCCCCTGGTCTGGTCCCGCTGACTGGAGCTGGACCCGACGACGGTGGACCAGACCTTACCGGCTCCGGATTGGGGCCGCTGGCCGGAGCTGGACTGGACACCGGTGGAGCGGATTGCTCTGGCTCCGGAGTGGATCCGCTGACTGGAGTTGGACCGGACCCCGGTGGAGCGGATTGCTCTGACTCCGGAGTGGAGCAGCTGACTGGAGTTGGACCGGACCCCGGTGGAGCGGATTGCTCTGACTCCGGAGTGGAGCAGCTGACCGGTGCCGGACCAGGCACCGGTGGAACAGGCACGGGCCGTGCCGGACTGGACACACGCACCACTGGCTTGGTGCGGGGAGCAGGAACGGGCCGGACCGGGCTGACGACGCGCACCACTGGCTTGGTGCGGGGAGCAGGAACGGGCCGGACCGGGCTGACGACGCGCACCACTGGCTTGGTGCGGGGAGCAGGAACGGGCCGGACCGGGCTGACGACGCGCACCACTGGCTTGGTGCGAGGGACAGGAACGGGCCGGACCGGGCTGGCGACGCGCACCACTGGCTTGGTGCGAGGGACAGGAACAGGCCGGACCGGGCTGGCGACGCGCACCACTGGCTTGGTGCGAGGGACAGGAACAGGCCGGACCGGGTTGGCGACGCGCACCACTGGCTTGGTGCGAGGGACAGGAACAGGCCGGACCGGGCTGGCGACGCGCACCACTGGCTTGGTGCGAGGGACAGGAACAGGCCGGACCGGGCTGGCGACGCGCACCACTGGCTTGGTGCGAGGGACAGGAACAGGCCGGGCTGGACTGGGAACACGCACCACTGGCTTGGTGCGGGGAGAAGGAACAGGCCGGGCTGGACTGGGAACACGCACCACTGGCTTGGTGCGTGAACGGGCCGGGCCGGACTGTGGAGGCGGACTGGAGGTCTGGAGCGGAGAGCTGACACAACCCGTCCTGGCTGAATGCCTATTTCCACACAACATGTGTGAGGCATCAGCACAGGACGTACAGGGCTATGCACTCGTACTGGCGCTACAGCACGTGGCACTGGCGCAGGATATACGGGACCGAGGAGGCGTACTGAAGGCCACGAGCGTTGAGCCGGCACACCCCGTCCTGGCTGCATGCCCATCTTAGCACGACACGTGCGTGGTGCTAGCACCAGACGTACAGGACTGTGCCGGAACACTCGCGGCACAGTACGTGGCTCCGCATAACACGGAGCCTGCCCAGTCTCACACTTCCTAGCCTGAGTACGGGGAGTTGGCTCTGCTCTAACTCTAGGCTCTGCCAACCACCCTTTTAGCCCCCCAAATTTTCTTTCTTGGGGCTGTCTCTCGGGCTTCCTCCTCGGCCGGTACCCTCTGCGATGCCGCTGCTCCTCTCTGTAGCGCGCCTCCACAGTCTCCTCCCAAGGACGGCGATCCATTCCGGCCTGAATCTCTTCCCAAGTCCAGGATCCCTTCCCGTCCAGGATCTCCTCCCAAGTCCAGGCTGTCTGTTCCTGGACACGCTGCTTTTTCCTTTTTTGGTGGGATCTTCTGTCACGAACGTTGACTGATGACTCGTGGAACCAAGGCGCAGCGTGATAAGCGTACATTTTATTTAGTACACAACACACGAACAAAACAACAAAACGAACGATACGTGAAGTCCTGAGGTTACAACAACACAAACCTTTACGGAACAAGATCCCACAAACTAACTGGTGCCAACAGGCTGCCTAAGTATGGTCCCCAATCAGAGACAACGAGCTACAGCTGTCTCTGATTGGGAACCACCCTGGACAACATAGATCAACACGATCTAGAACAAAAACATAGAAAACTAAACAATGAAAATCCACACCCTGGCTCAACATTTAAGAGTCCCCCGAGCCAGGGCGTGACAGCAGAAAGACAAACTCAACTCCATCTTTCATCAGATCAGATGGCTTATTCATCACAAAACCATTTGATGTTGCCAATTATTTTAATTATTATTTCATTGGCAAAGTGGGCAAATTTAGGCAGGAAATACCAACAACGAACAGTGAGCCATCGTATTCATGCATAAAAAAATAATAATGAAAGAAAAGCATTTTAAGTTAGAATTTTGTAAAGTTAGAAAAATTACAGTTATCGATCAATAATGACAAACCTCCTGGTATTGACAACTTAGATTAAATGCTACTAAGGAAGGTAGCTGACTCTATAGCCACTCCTATCTGTCAAATCAATGTTTTTTTTATTATTTTTTTTGTATTTGTTTTTCTCCCCTTTTTCTCCCCAATTTTGTTATATCCAATTGCGATCCAATTACGATCTTGTCTAATCCCTGCAACTCCCCAACGGGCTCGGGAGAGGCGAAGGTCTCCGAAACATGACCCGCCAAACTGCGCTTCTTAAAACCTGCACACTTAACCCAGAAGCCAGCTGCACCAATGTGTCGGAGGAAACATCGTACAACTGATGACCGAAGTCAGCCTGCAGGTGCCCGGCCCGCCACAAGGAGCCGCTAGAGCGTGATGAGCCAAGTAAAGCCCCCCCGGCCAAACCCTCCCCTATCCCAGCCTTTAGATGACAGAAAGGTGCCATATTTTTAGGTGACTGACAACTAAGTTCTGCCGCATGTCCCCTGTTATGCAGTTAAAATATTCATTTGTTTTTAATTTAGTGTTTGTTGAATGATGGTATCACCTTGTTTGTTTGTTTTTTCATATTTACTCTTAGCATGTCTATCTTCTGATGATGTAATATTTTGGGAACATTGAAGAACTTGACCTCTTATGGTATGAGGTCATATTTTGGGACTTACAGTAGTGGGCTAGTAGCTGTTGATAAATTTTTTCGTATAGATATACAGTATATCATTGAGACTTATTGTCTGAGAATGAGTGTCAGACGTGTTGCCATTGAGCATCATTACCACCAGCTGGTTGTGGGCTGATGGGCTCATTAGGACAACTCAGATCTCTCTCTAACTTTTGCCTAATTAAGCCTGATATTCCAGAGTAAATACTAAGCCCCGGCTCTCCCTGTACAGCAACGGATTGTTGTTGCTTTTCAAAACAAACAATGCTCATAAGGCACTGCAGAATGATGAATAATTAATGACCATTTTTAATGACTTTCAAAAAGTCTTAATAAGCCACACAGGAGTTCGAGCAAGTCTTTCATCAGCATTCTCACTATGAGGGACCAGCATGGAGAAAAACAGATCAACAGTGAAGAGAACAAAAGCAGGTCCAGAGAGGCTATGTTTTGGCAATGTTTTGGTCAGTTGCAGTTTGATGTCTGGCTACTACCTCCACCCACAGTATGATGTCTGCCTATTGGCTACTAACAGTCAGGTAGAGCAGGCTATGTTTTGGTCAGACGTAGTTTTACCGGTAGTCTTCCCAGCTGGCTGATGGGAAGATGGATCGGAAGCCATCTAGCTGTGTATTAGAAATTATAATTAATAACATGTGCATTGTAGTGGTCACCAAACCTGGTCCCGCAGAGCAGCATGGTACAGACATTGTGTTGCATCAGCCAAAGACCAAAACAAGTAATCAACCCATGGTCAAAGCTATATGACCAACCTAAGGTGTTTTATTGTTGGGTTGAAACAAAAACATGCACACCCTGTTGCTCTCCAGGACCAGGTTTGGTGACTTCTGGTGTATAGCATAGAAATAGTTTTTCTGGGAAAGTGAGCACAGGTCAAGAGTCCTCTGTGCTGCAGGTGATCACACAGCCATACTTGTTGTGACCTCAACAAACTGTGCAGGTTCAGTTCC